TTCGGAGAGAAGGAACCTATATTGAGACAATAAAGTTCCTGTTTTGCTACCAACTATCTAGATGAATTATTTAATATCATTTTCTATGCCTCAGTTTCTTTATCTGTTAAATAAAAATATTATTTGCCCCCTCCTATGTAAACATAAGGTATCACCCCATGTGCTTTGTCATGCCAACTTAACTATGAGCTACTCGAGGGCAAGAAATTATCTTAAACTCTCTTGTATTCCCCTACTCCACTAAGAAGAATGTTCACTGGTTGTCCAATAAATGTTGACTTTAAAAAATAAATAAGCAAAGCAAAAATGTCCAGGGAGTTTCTGCTGAAGGGACTATAAAGCAGTACATGTCTGCCCTTTCCATTTAATATGTCATGTGAATTGTCATCTATTCCTGAAGTTCTTGGGGATGTTGGTGGCAATCTATAATCAAGGTGCCTCCACCATGCTTTTGCAGCAGCAATTAGGAATTCTCATTTAAAGAATATATAAAACTTAGAGGGAAAGAATATATATTCATTCAAAAAAGATTTATTTAGCCATTGATTTGTGTAAAACTCTGAATAATCAAGATGTGATAAATGCTCAGCAGTTACACTCCCAACTCCAACTTACACTGGAAGACTGGGTCCCAAGAGAGTGACCACTCTATCTCTCTTACGGTCTAGGGGTAGCCCTGAGCAGTTGGTAGGAATCTTTACTGGTGTTAGTTCAAAATCCCACTGGTTTGGTCCTCACTCCCATGACGATCAGTTGATAAATCATTCAGCCAGACCTAATTAGCTTTTAGGATGTACGTACACTTATCGACAACACAAAATCCAGTAGGCCTGAAAGACGAACAGCTCTTGTAGCAAGAGAATTCAGCAGCCAAATAACAGCCCTGAGTGAAACAAGACTGGCAAATGAAGGCCGGCTTACTGAAGTTGGAATTGCATACACATTTTTCTGGAGTGGCCACAGCGAAGGGGAGCACCGTGAAGCTGGCATAGGTTTTACAATCAAAACTAATCTAGTCAACAAGCTTGTATGTCTACCAAAAGGAGTGAAGGACAGGATCACGACGATGTAATTGCCACTTGCAGGAAAGCTCCATGCCATCATCATCAGTGCATTTGCTCCCACTATGACAAACCCCGATGAGGTCAAAGAAAAATTTTATGAATACCTGGAGACCCTCATCATCAATGTGCTGAAAGAGGACAAGCTTATAATTCTGAGTGACTTTAATTCTAGAGTAGGCTCAGACTACCAGACACAACAGGGACTCCTTGAGAATAATAGAGTCAGAAAAAGCAACAGCAATGGAAGACCTGTACATCTCATGACTTTTTCATCGCCAACTGTCTTCCATTTTCCTAAAAACAATAAAACTTTGTGGATGCACCTTCCCAGCAAACATTGGCATTTAACAAACTATGTCATTGTAAGGAGAAGAGACAGACAGGATGTGAGTGACAAAGACGATATGGGGTGCAGAGTGCTGTACTGATCATAGACTTATCTTCACATTCAACAAAAGCAGCAACCCCAAGGCAAGAGATTACCAGAAGACTTAATGTCAACAGATTAGAGTGGCTTCTACAAGCATGAACAGTTAGTTGCTAACTTGGAGGGAATAAGCCAACACATAGTTAGTTGACAACTGTGGAGCAGAAAAGGAGTGGACAGCTTTCACAGATTTGGTGTTCAGCACTGTATTTGCTCATCTGAGTCAGAACACTCTCAAATATCAATATTGGTTTGACAAAAATGATGAAGAAAATTCAGAAGCTGCTGAACAAAAAAAAAAAAGAAATGATAACTTCATAGGGTTTACCAGCAGGATAGTTCATCCATCTCTAAAAAGGCAGCATTTAACTCCATCAAAAGTAAAGTACAAGAGAAGCTTAAAGAGATGCAAAATTTTTGGTTCAGTAAGAAGGCAGATGAAATTCAATTTTATACTGATAGTAATGATCCAAAGCACTTTTATTATACCCTGAAGGTTATTTATGGGCCAAAGACCTATGGTAAATCTCAATTACTCAGTGCTGATGGAGCCACATTGATTAGTGATAAGAACATGATCCTGGAGAATGGATCAATTACTTCCATAGTGTTCTCAACAGATCATCATCAATCGATGCTGAAGTCGTTGATTGTATGCCTCAGGTTGAATTCAATCCCTCTCTAGACAAACTTCCAACTGAAGAAGAGGATTTGAATGTCATTAGGCTCCTCTTGTGTGGCAAAGCACCTGGTGCTGATTCTATTCCAGCTGAGATTTATGGGGGGGGGGGGGCCATTGCTCATACAAAAGCTGATTGAAATTTTCCAGGTTATATGGTAAGAAGACTATACTCCAGGAGTTCAAGGAAACCTCTATTGTCCATCTCTATAAAGGTAAAGGAAATAGATTGTCCTATGACAATCCTGGGGGAGGAGGGGAGGGTTGTCTCTCTCTTCCTCATTGCCAGCAAGATTCTTGCCAGAGTCGTCCCTAATAGGCTAATTTCTCACCTGAAAGACAGTCATCTACCTGAGAGCCAGTATGGCTTCAGAGAGGGTTAAAGAATGGTTGATACGGTGTTTGCTACCCAACAACTCCAGGAAAAATGCCAGGATCAGAACAGAGGTCTATACACAATGTTTGTCAATCTGGCCAAAGCCTTTGAAAGTGTCAGTCGTGAAGGCTTACGGAAAATTATGACAAAATTTGGTTGCCCAGAGAAATTCATCGGTATTATACGTCAATTTCATGATGGCATGCCTGCTCAGATTCTGGATAATGGACGACACTCTTGCGCTTTCTCTGTCACCAATGGAGTGAAACAAAGCTATGTGCTTCCTCTCATGCTTTTTAGTATGTTTTCATCAATGTAGTCAGACATCTTCAACAAGGATGAAAATGACATCAAGGTCAGCTACCACAGTGACAGTAAATTATTTAACTTGAAAAGGCTATAAGCCAAGACTAAAGTAGAGGGAGAGTTGGTGCGTGATTTTTTATTTGCAGGTGGTTGTGCACTCAATGCAGCTTCTAAGGCTGCATTGCAACAAAGTATGGACTGATTTTCTATTGCTTGTGCTAATTTTGGCCTAACAATTAACACTAAGAAAACACAGGTTCTCCACCAGCCAGCATACCACCCATATGTGGAACCATTGGTTAGAGCAAATAGAGAAATTTTGAATACTTTGAATAAGTTCATTTACCTTGGTAGCAGGCATGTCCACACAGATGATGAGGCCGACACACACATTGCCAGAGATAGCTAAGTGTTTAGGAGGCTCTGAAGGAAAGTGGGGGAGAGAAGAGGTATTGCGCTGCCTACCAAACTGAAGGTCTACAGAGCCACTGTGCTGACCTCATTGTTGTAGGTCTACGAAACCTGGAAAGTATACCAGCAACATGACAGAAAACTGAATTGCTTCCATTTAAGTTGTCCTAGGAGGATTCTGAAGATTACCTGGCAAGATAAGGTACCAGACACTGAGGTCCTTTCTCAGCTAAACTGCCAAGCATTCAAACTCCACTGCAGAGAGCATGCCTCTGATGGGCTGGCCACATTGTTTTAATGCCAAACCTACACTTGCCTAAAAGACTATTTTACAGAGAACTCACACAAGGCAAGCGCTCACACAGAGGTCAGAAGAAGTGATACAAGGACACTCTCAAGGTTTCTCTGAAGTACTTTGGAATCAATTGCATGACACTGGCACAGGACCACCCAACATGACGTGCCCACTTCAAAGAAAGAGCTGTGCAAAAGAAATGTGAAATGTACAAGTTTAGAGATATCAACATCTCCACCCCAAATGTTCACATGAACTATTTGTGCCCAACCTGTGGTGGAGCCTTCCAAGTTCTTATTGGTCTGATCAGGCACAGTCTGACAGGCTGCATTCCACCATAATGATGTCATTTTGGTCTTCTTGGAGAATGAAGGATAACAACCAATCATATACCAAGATGGTGTAATAAAAGCAGTTGGTATGAAATATCCACCCAAAAAGTCCGTGTCACACTCATTTATACATAGGAGCAAAAGTATTCCCAAGACTAGAGAGCATATGAAACTCACAGCTCTTTAAAGTCCTTTTGTATTAAGAATATGGCAGGGGCAGCTAGGTGGTGCAGTGGATAGAGCACCGGCCCTGAAGTCAGGAGGACCTGAGTTCAAATCTGGCCTCAGACCACACTTGACACTTACTAGCTGTGTGACCCTGGGCAAGCCACTTAACCCCAATTGCCTTAACAAAAAAAAAAAAAAGAATATGGCAAATTTCATAATGATAACCCTAAGCTGTAAAGGAAATCTTAACTTATTCATTCACTATTTGATCCTGGAGGAAATAGTGAGCCACTGAAGTTTATTGAATAGGAGAGTAACATGGTACAGAAACTATTAATTTTTGTATTACAAAATCACAAACTAGAAGCAGCATAATGTTCTTTTGATTATGATTTTAAAATTATTTCGATAAAAATAAAGCATCCTGTTAAAATAAAATGTTCTATTAAAAATCAATTTTGAAATACCTTCATACTAGGAGAAAAAATGTTAATTATTTTAATTAGGAAATGATAAAAAACATAAGTATTTTTATATCTAACACAAAATTTTTCTTTAAAAATTTTTAGAGAGTCATCAGGATAACCAAAGACATACACATTTAATGCTGAATGTTTGTCCTTTTAGTTGTGAATAAACATGTCCATCATGGTTGACTATAATGGACTACACAAGAAAAATATATTTTTAACTGAAAACAAGATGATATGCTCAATGTATGCCAAATCAGCTTAGTGGACTAAACAGCTTCACAATTTAGAGTTTCACATTACAAAATGTTAACCCAAAATGACTATGTATGTTAGTAAACCTCATCATTCCACCCACCAGCTCAAGCACCATTTTCAGAGGGGAGTAAATCTGCTACTTACAAATTAATATATAAAACTGAACTGAAACCCATACTTAAACTCATAAAATATAGAATTAAGAGACATTTACCTTGAAAAACAGTTGGTACTCTAGTAAGACTGGAATTGAAAACTAGCAATGAATGGTCAGCTAAACCACAAGCCAAATGAAGTCCATCTCCTATTAAAAAAAAGTTCCAAGTCATATCTGATGCAATATAGCCAGCGTCCATTATGAAAATTGACAATTCAGATGTAAAATTTACTTGCTAGGATAATTTTTACTTATTAAAAAAAACACATTTCAAATAGTGATGGTTTTAATATATTTTTCCAAAAAAAAAGACTAAAAGAGTCATACATTCTTTTTGCTAAGCAAATAAATTTTGCCCAGATACTCAACTTCTTGATATTCAAAGCTAAGAATCAAGAGTATAGATCAAGTATTCCAGTTCATTCATACACACACACACACACACACACACACACACACACACACACACACAAATATTTATCAAATAAGACTTTAAAAAAAAAAACTTAAAGTTGACTACATTGAAAACAAGTATATTTTCCTGAAGAATATATCACATAGCCCAAATCTTCAGGGTGGGGGAAAGCTTTGGATAAACTGATTTAAATAATAAAAGAGTTTTGATTCTTTGGGGAAGGGGGCAGTAGGAGAGAGGACCATGGAAATATATGTAATAATAACTTACCTCCACTGGCTTTATTCCTGATTCCCAACTTTTTCTACCATGCCCCAGTAGCCTCCTCACCCCCAAAGTTAACTTCACCTCTGGCCTCCTCACACTGGAAATGTTTGGACTCTGTGTCCCCTTCCTCTAACTGGCTGTTTCTTCCCAAAAACTCCATTTTAAGAAAGTGCCCAGGTTAGTCATGTCTTCGTTCGTCTTCATGCTCCACTTCTGACTCTTGGGACTTTCTCTACCAGCCCACAGTCCAGTTTTTATGTGTTGTCTTCCCCTACTAGACTGTAAGCTCCTTGAGGGCAGGGCTGTCTTTCCATTTGCATTTGTATTTCCAGTGTTTAGCAGAGTGCCTGGCACATGGCAAATGATAAATGCTTGTTGACTTGACTCAAAATATATAAACTATAACTAGTGGTTGGATGAATTTTTTTCAAGCCAAGGATGGGGACAAGGAACATGACAGTCTTGCCAACATATGGTCTGAGGTGAATGCAAATAGTTTCAAGAACAGGATCCAATTCTCATTCTTGGGAATGTTCAAATAGATGGTGTGTTCCACAGAACTGAATTTCTTGCAAACTACATCTTAGTTATTCCAATAACAATTAAAATCAATAAAGATAGGAATCAACAAAGAGGGGAATCTACTTTGGGAATGAAGTATAAAATACCTTTTGGGAATATATTTGAACAGTGGTTGCTGGAGAGGGGCAGGTACTTTCAAATCAGCAGAAAAATGCTCCAGCAAAAACAAACTATGAGGATTCATCTCCAAAAAACAAATACTTCTGCTGAGTTAAAATTAAATTTCAGACTACCAATCATCAATTTTCCTCAACCTAGTCAACTAGACTAACTAAACTAATTAAACTAAGTCAACTAATTAAAGCTTCTCACAGAAATCTAGTGGCCTTATTTTCCTGAGTCCTGTGACCATAGCATTCTTCTCTCACCAACAGTTTTTTTTCCCCACAATGAAAAAAAAAAAGTATGTGTGAGAAAGGAGCATAAGCAGAGAGAAGCTATATTTTGTTAGTCTTGAGTATGGGATTGCAGGGTCAGGGCTAGAAGTAGATAACATCAAATTATCTAAAAGTATAGAATTTTTTTGTCAAATACCATATTCAAAGGTTTTCATCTTGTGGCTGAAATGGATGAAATGACTTCTCAAACCCACTGTTTCCTTTTATAGCTAAGAAACATAACAATATTGAGAATCACATTTTAATAAAACTGAATCTTAGGGAACGAGATTCAAAGTTTAGCAGGGTATTACTGGGTAAAAAAAGGAAACATGACTTTTTCCAGGGAAGGTTCTTTTTGGATAAAATCCTGCACTAATTTATCCCAACAGTTACATGATTATGAGAATTAACAAGGTTCTCACATGGTAAGGTACTTCAAAAGACAGGGAGAATTCTGAACTGGCAATGCTTGGTAGCTCTCTGTGGTGCAAAGAACACCACACTAAGTCATTCAACTTGGGCTCAAGGTCCAACTCTCCCAACATTCATTTGTGTGGCCCAGAACAAGTCATTTCACTTTCTGAGGTCTCAGTTTCCTCATCTATAAAATAAAGAGTTTAGACTAGGTGTTTCCCAAGGTTCCGTCCAACACTACCAATCTATGAATAGATAAAGCCTAATTCCTATATCAAAATTAAAAAGTCCTCCATTTCTTGAGAGGCCCCATTCATACTTCATTCCTGGTTCAATTCATTAGCTGACTTGACTAAGTGGTACAATGGATAAGTGGTACAGTGGATAGAGCTCTAGGCCTGGAGTCAGAAAGATCTGAGTTCAAATCTGACCTCAGACACTTACTAGCTGCGTGATCCTGATTTAACCTCTGTCTGCCTCAGTTTCTTCAATGCTGAAATGAGGATAATAATAGCACTTCCTTCACAGAACTATTGTGTGGAAATCCAATGAGATAATATGTGTAAAGTTACCAACAGTGCCTGGTACATAGTAGGTGCTTAATAAAAGTTTATTTCCTCCCTTCTCTCCTTGATTTCTCCACCTCCTTACAAGTCACCTTCCTACCCTGAAGACTGAGGCCCACTCTCCTGGCTGGTGACTCGCTAGAGCCCAGACCACTATTTTTTGAGGGGCCCCAGCCAACTTTACTTTAGTGCTGGCTTCACCCAGCCTCTGGACTTGTTGACCTCCTCACCAGAGACTCTGCCCTACTTCCTTTACAGCTCCTTTTTACGTAAGGTCTGCCTCCGTTAAAATGTAGGCTACATAAAGAGAAGGACAAGCTCATGTGCTTGTACTTGTGCCCTCTATGCTTAGCACAGCGATAGACACATAGAGAGCACTCGAGAAATACTTTGTCCATCTGTCTATACCAAAGGTTCTAATTGTAGTCAGCCAAGTAAAAATTGGGGTTTTGTTTTAATCTAATTATCTGTTGATGACACTGTGCTGGATACATCAGGTCCTTGAAATATCACAGAGATGCCTAAAAGAGATCTAAAACCACTCAGAGGAGTTTGGCCTGATTAAACATATAGAAAAGACCACAGATATAAAGAATGTCTATCACCTGGATTAGGACATGTAGTTGGATGGACAACCTAAAGAGTTTGTCCATAAGCGTGTGTATGTGGGTATGCATGCACTTATATACATATATGCATATATATGTGTGTGTTTGTGTGTATATATATATACACATGTGTATGTGTACATATCTGTATGTTTATTGTATGAGTGCATATATATGTATATATGGGTAAATGAGCATGTATGCATGTGTGTGTGTGTGTGTGTGTGTGTGTGTGTGTGTATGTTTATATAAATGGAAAATAATTTGGGTCCAAAATAGAACAAGAGGAAATCAGATTAGACTGCCTTCAGGAACTAGAAAGCTCATTAAGTTCTCCAGAAAAAAAGGGGCCCAATTTAATTCCAATTTAATGACAGTATTTTCTAGTGTTAAGGTATGGTGGCAAGACATGAAACACAATAAACTCCAAAGAACTGAAAATGAATATCACCTAGAGGGCAATAGAGAGGTGCATGACGGGTAGAAGGAGGCTCCAACCTACGCCAATAAGGAACTGCAAAGATGAACAAGAGTCAAAGATGTCATCATAGAAAATAATATGGACTGGTCATGTGGTGAGAACAAGGGAGGGCAAGTTGACAGCCAGAAGATTGGTATTCTTGCAATGTCAGGGGAAAGAAAGCAAGGAGGACCTCGAGAACATTGCTAGAAGCTACCTCACAGGACAGACAGACAGGGATAGATTGTGATCTGCATCACTGGGAGAAAGGGTATCCAAATCAGTGAGATCACAGATCCATTTGAATGCTGAGTAATTATTCAAACAACACATTAGAACTTCAATGTATCTCACATTTGGAAATCTTCATAGCTATAAATTTTTTAATGTAGATTTATTTAAAATAATCTTATTACTAAAACAAAGTAAAACCTAAAATTTCATCTTTAATTATACACACCTGAATACTGAAGGCAGCAAACAGCAGTTGATGTATGGGCTACAGGTAGTTGCCTGCTAAGCTTGGTTGGCGGTGGATTCTCCAAGGGATAATCTTTACTTTATGGGATAAAAGAAACAATGAGTCACACAAAAATGCAATCAAATAAGTAGGATACAAGAAAGAAACTAGACTCTAATTTCTCTGTAGACTCAGTTTGAAACCAAAACCATAACATAACTCTTAAAATATATTATTCATTTGAAATCTTCATACATAATTTTCAACAACCTGAAAATAACTGGTATAAGAATACAAAAATTACCCTGCTTCATGCAAACTGATGAAGATACTGACCTGATGATTTTCTTGGTTCTCAGGGGTCATAAAGAATGACCATTATTTATTGTTTAATAGTTGCTAATGTAAAGGAGATGAATGAGTTGTCCTTGATCAAAGTGGGAAGTTTTCCTAAAACTCCTGGCAACAGAGTGTGAAGGAGTTTCCTTAATAACATAATAGAGTATAGGCTATTGTTAGTCCTTAGTCAACCTGATGGAATTATAGAGTATTGGTGATTGTATTAAGACAGTTGACGGAGCACAGGAAAATTTTAATGACTGGATGAGAGATTCAGTCAGCCCTTTACATCTTACATAATAAGCAAGTTAGCCCCACTATGAGACAATCAAGAAGAAAGTCAAGTTGAGGAGTGAACGGGAGAGTCAGCTCTGGAGGAAAGACTTAGCTTTTGATGACTCCAACCCTTTACAGAGTGCAATGGGATAGCAAGATACTGTCTGTCTCCTCCTCATCCCCAAATGAGCAATGGTGCCCTGCGGAAGAAGTGCATGTCTTTAGCAGACATGTGCTTACAAAAAGCCTAAGAGGGGAATTCAAGGATGTTGCTTTCTGAACCCCAACCTTCCGGGTGTACAGAGTTCACAGAGAAAATGGGGTTGTTGGTATGGAGATCTTGCTTAGAAGATAACAGCCTTCAGAGCTGAGATTCCAAGTAAATAAACCTGGGAAGGTTTTCCACGGATCCTAATGGCAATAGTTCTAGTTCTTTTCTAAAAGTCTAGAAATGCTCTAAGTAGGAATATCAGCTGAGTCTGTCTCTCTCCACCTACTTCTTGGTACACCCTTCCTTTATGCAGACCACAAAAGCTCATACTCTCTAGTCCTCAAAACCCCACCCCTCCATGGTCACCAACTCCTTCCCTCCCTCCCACCCCGGGAATGTTCTCATTAATCCCCAAAAGCTGTGGAAGGGCCTACATTCATACCATCAGCACCTGGTAGAGTGGTTTGCTGTAGTAGGCTTCGAATGAATTCCTAGTTGACCTGAATTAAGTTGAACTGAATTTAATCAAGAGATGATAGGAAGCCAATGAAAGGTTTTGAATTAAATCAAATGGAATCAAACAGGAAGAAACTGAAAGTAGCAAGATAGGTTTAAGAGGGGAGGGGGCAGCTAGGTGGTGCAGAGCACCAGCCCTAGAGTCAGGAGGAGCTGAGTTCAAATCTGACCTCAGACACTTGATACTAGCTGTGTGACCATGGGCAAGTCACTCAACCCCAATTGCCTCACCAAAAAGTAAATTTAAAAAAAAAAAAAGAGGTGAAAAAAGCTGTTTCAGTCATCCAAACAAATGTGTTTGGGTGGTGGCAATGGCAACAGAAAGAAGGATATAGATACAAGAGATATCAGAAAGGTAGAAGTGACTCTATTTTACATGTAATTTGATGTGAAAAGCCAGAAGTCTCCTGACCCCTCATTTTGTTTCCTTTTCACTATACTAAAAGTGAGGTATTCATTTTAAATACTATATTAATCAATTACCACTCAAAATTATTACTTGGTATGATGCATGCATTAATGTTCTGATCAATAATCATTTAAAGCAGTTTATTGTGAATGTTGTGATCATACTTCTGGACACCTAAATGTCTACATTTCATAATATACTAAGAACAAACACCATATTTGACATTTAGAATTTTTTTTAAAAACCTTTATACACCAGTGAAGAGATCTGAAATTTCACTCAAAACAGATGGTTAGCATATACTTTACAAGGAAATGGAACTTTCTATAAAACAAAATTTTGAAGAGAATAAAATAAAAACATTTTAAAGCTTCACATTTTATATTTAAATTTTTTAATTGAACTAACTGTATTACATACCATTTATAATGACTCTTCGATTCTGAGGATCTTTCACCATTTGTCTTTATGTTGGTCTTTGGTGAAAACATAGTTCCTCTGTTGGAAAAAATACCTTCAAATGTTACTTTAAAAACATGGATTGCATATACAATTCACTACAACACTGAGAAAAGTCATATGTCTATTTGCTACACTCATTCCAATATTACTAATGAAGCAAAAACCTTGAATTGGTCATGCAATGAGAGTATAAGTTAAAATTCTTTCTAGTAGAACATGACAGTGGGAGGCCACAACTATATTTTGCTTCTGTCTTTGTATCAGTGCCTTGAACAAAGAAGGTGCCTAATAAATGTTTAAGTAAATTAAATTTACACCTACTTAAAATGGCACATCTAGTCACTGTAACTTCTAGCTCATTATTGGCTCATAATTTCAATTACGTGTCTACACATTCTCAAAAACTCTGATTTGCTGCAATTTTCAGATAGAGACAAGGACTTCTCCAGTGAGCTAACTCCTTCTAAAAATGCAAGTCAGCACCTTCTTTGTGACTTCTATTCTTAGAGATACCTAGAGCACCCAAAAGTTAAGATACTTGTCCAAGGTCACAGAGACAACATGTGTCAGAGGCAGGACTTGAACTCAGGTCTTCTCTCGGCTTGAAGACCAGCTGTCACCTATGCCTCTTTCACTGGATTTGTTGCTAGAACATTGTGACTTACTTTGGGAAAATGCCAGTAAATAATAGTCATACCTCCTCCCCGCCCCCCCTCCCACAAAAAAGATGAATTCATTATCCTTTTAATTTGTAGAGATTATGCAAGATTATGCAACAGAATAAAAAGAAAGAAAATAACATATTGTCAAAGGAGATAGTAGCATAATGGGATAGCAAAGCCAGCCTAAAACTAGGAAGTTCTGAATCTACATCCAGCCTCTCGGACAGCCTAGCTGTGTGACTCTGGGCAAATTACTTAACAAGTAACACTCTTAAGTTCCAGAAAAGCTACTGATCTGTATTGATAGAAGAAGCTTCCTCATAGAGCAGCAGCCTGTGCCAAGGAAATCACAGGCCCAGTCTCTATTCCCAGAATGCTAAATGTAACTTTCAGCTATCATTTGAGACTCAAAACTTTTCTTTGTAAGCATCCCTATGAATATTAATATGTTAATGATGAAATGATTCAATATGTAGACATTCACTTTACCTAGCTGCTCAAAAATACATCTAAAATGAAAAATGAGATAAAAATGTTTATTTTAATCTCAAATAGCATTTTTAATTGTTTTGCTTTTGTATATTCTACATCTAAAAGTACAGCCAATCACAACATTCCACACTTGCCAAGACCCCTTCTTTGCTGTGTGTCAATAAAGAGGGTCCCTTTCTTCTCACTGGGATCACTGGCCTTACTGAAGGTGCCAGTCTGACCCACTTTGTTAACAGTTATATGTATCATTGTAAATAAAGTGATTTTGCTCAGAATCTGTACATCAATCTGTCTTTATTGGATTTATTCAAGACAATTTCATATCTATTGTAACACAAGTAACAAATACCACTGACAAAACTTGAACCCACATAAGTAATGTCTCTCTAATTAGTTAAAAAGATGTAATATTTCAGTGAATTGACTCAAAGAATTCCTACTTACTGTGGTGCAGATGCATAACCGGATGATATAACTTTATTGTGGAAAACCAGTGGTTGGTCTTTTATGGTGCTCTTCACAGCTATATGAAAATAATTGAAAAGGATCACTCATATGTTTGGAATATTATAATCTCATTATGAAAATAAAACAGTGCAATTAGAATAAAAAACTGTCAAATGGAGGGGAGGGAATCTTTGTACCAAATATCTCTGATGAAATCAAAGATCAATGCCTATAGCTATTTTTAATAACAACAGGATATTCAGGACATATTAGCAGCTACATGGTGCAGTGGATAGAGCGCCACGTCTAGAATCAGGAAGACCTGAGTTCAAATCTGGCCTTAGACTCTTACTAGCTGTGTGACCCTGGGCAAGTCTTTTAGCCCTCTTTGCCTCAGTTTCCTCATCTATAAAATTAGTTGGAGAAGGAAATGGCAAGTCACTCCAGTAAATGGCAAGTCACTCCAGTATCTTTGCCAAGAAAACACAAAATGAGGTCAAGAAGAGTTGGACACGACTGAAACAACTTAACAACAAATTCAGGATACATAAGGAATTGACACAAATATATGAGACCAAGGTTCATCATCTAATAAATAATTGCTCAAAGGATATGAATGATTTTCAGGAAAAAAAAAGCCAGTTTTCCATCAAATGGGTTCATTTTTTTGGTTTATTTTGTTTAGTTTTGGGGGGAGGAGGTTAAGTTGGTTGGGGGGATTACTGAGGAAAATGTTTCAGAGGCAGGAGCATTACCAGGAAATCTCTATGGTATAAAACCAATGGTTATCAATAAAAAATTTAGAAAATAAAAATTACTTTTACAATAATAAATAAAGCTGAGAATGTCTTTAATATCACATAAACACTTATGAAGTTAATGTATGAAAGTTAATTGAAAGCAATACTACGGTAAAAGTCTTTGCATAACTGATTTCAGCAATAAAATATATTATATTTTCATTACTTTATTAGTTACATGTTTCATTCATATTGCCTTCAGTATGTTTTTGTAAAGATAGGGATACAGTTTTTGTGGTTCATGGCATGACTAAGTCAGGCACATTCATTTGTTTTCCATATGAACTTTTTCAAAACAATAAAGTCCTTAGCAATACATATTTTAACAATCACAAAAGTCAATCCTTGGAAATTGAACCACCAGCTGGCTACAGAGAAACTACTATCTCTGTAATAAAATTCAGTATTTACATGAATACTATCACATCAGCATTTTTTCTAAGGCACATAAACACTTTAATTTATGTGAAAATGCAGTACATAGCATAGTATTTACTAAATGAGATGCCCCATATGGGGAAAAATTGAAATGTTTCCATCTCTCAAGTTGCAATCGAAATACCACATATAGATGAAAAATTAAAGATATCACAAACTACAAATAATAACAGCTAAAGAAGATCTAATGTATCAAATATCATCATAGATTTGCATATTGATTTGCATATATGCATATGCACAAGATATCGATTACAGAATCCAACAAGAAAAAATTTGACCCATTATGATTTGTTAGGAAAACTAAACCTTTCGCAATGCAAGAACAAAATATAAGGAACATAAGTTGATGTCTCATAATTGAAAATACATATAATTAATGCTTATTAATAATAATTCTTGTTAATTGAGACACAATCTAATGTTTTGGCAAAGTATCATTCACCTATTTGTTACTCAAGTAACTCCAAATCTTGTTTAATATTTGGTATACACAACTTCTTCACATCTAGTTAATAAAAATAAAGTATAAATCACATATCTTGATGGATCAATGATTTCAATAGTATGGTTATATCCCCTCAACCAATACAGATCCAAACTCCTCTACGTTTTGATATTATACAATTTTTTGCCTATGTCTTTCCCTTAATCCTGGATTTGCATTGAAACCATTCTTCAGTTCTATCAATATCTCATGGAGAATAAGGCAGTGCTCTTACTATTTTCTTACATGACTAGTCCACCACATTCTGTGCTAAATGATGCTACTTTTTTATGCTACTTTTTACATGCACGTCAACATTGGCTGTGGCCTACTTAGGAAACATCATGCTTTTTTCCATAGCAATTTGGATCACCTGCAAATTTTATTCCTCTCAGATTGCAACTAATGATGTTCCATGATTCAAAGCCACATAGCAGGAGAATAATGGTTTATAATATAAACTGAGGACAAATTTAAGCCATTAGAGTAAAAAAAGTAAAAGACCCAGGCTCTTCACACAAGCCACTAAAAACAACAAATATGTTTTTTGTTTGTTTGTTTTTGGTTTTAGTTTTTTTTAGGCAATTGGGGTTAAGTGACTTGCCCAGGGTCACACAGCTAGTGTCAAGTGTTTGGTCTGAGGCCGGATTTGAACTTAGGTCCTCCTGACTTCAGGGCCAGTACTCTATCCACTGTGCCACCTTGCTGCCCCTAAAAACAACAAATATGGAAGTGGGAGTTGGAAAACATAAAAGCAAAACACCAAAGGGAAGAGAAACAGCTAAAACACACACACACGCATACACACATGCACATATACACACATGCACACACACACACACACACATGCACAGGGAGATGGAAAATGGAAACTAACCTAAATTTAAAATGCACAAAACTACAAAAATGCTGATATAATTTTTAAACGCTCTGGAGAAATTGAATCAGCTAAAGTACTAAAAGCAAAGGAGATTTTAGAAAAGAAAACAGGAAAGATATCCTAAGACTCATAAGGATTAATGGCACATTCAAAGAAATTAAACAAGAATTGTCTATCTTAATAAAATAAGACCCAATAAGACTTTGAAGTAAAATAACAGCAACAACAACAACAATAATAATAATAAAAGAGGTAAAAGGCAGTTCTCCTTGAACTTCAACCTCCCAAAACTTATTCTTGATCCACACTGCAAATTCCACTTGCTGCACACTTCCTTGCTTTCCCAAGTCACCACCCTTGCTTTAGCCTCATTTTCCCCTCTTCACAATTGTAAAACTTTAATCAGCCAGCTTATGCTGTCCTCTAGTTTTTAGACTTTTGTCTCCTTGTCCAATCATGGCTTATCCTTTTCCAAACCTCAACACTAGATTAATCCCATTACCTGCTTTCTTGGCTTCTACCCTTGGGCTGTTTAACACCACTGAAGGAAGTCACTCAACCTCGTAGATTAAGTCCACTATAAATTCATATTATTCATTCTGAACTAGGCACTCACTTCTGACCTTCAATATTTTATTCTTTCCTGATTGCTTCTTGGTCAAACTCCCCACAGCTGCTTGTCTAAACTTTTTCTTCTGTTCTCAAGCCACCTATACCACCTTTCACTCCCAGCAAAGGACCTCCCCTCATACTCCACTGAAAAAACTGAAACCATTCATTGAGAGCTCCTTATTATCCTCAATCCACATTTCAAATAACCTCAGCACCATACCCCCATCCTCTCCTTTGTTTCAATCTCAGATGACAAGTGGCCCTTCTTACCAATACCAATACCTCTACTTGTACTCTTGATCCCATCCTTTCCAAGCTCAAAATCTTGCCTCTTTGATCATCTCTCTCTCTCCCTAATTGTCAACCTTTCATTATGCACTGACTCTTTCCCTGATACCTTTAAACATGATCACATCTCACTAAACCTTTAAAAAAAAGAACCTTCATTGACTGTATGATCTTCTTAAGCTATCATTTTATATCTCTCCATCCTTTTGCACCACCAAACTTCAGGGAAAATCTATCTATACCCATTAACTCCACCTTCTCACCTTCCACCCACACTTGGCAATCTAGTTTCCATTACCACCACTAGAATTTGACAATCTAATGGGCTTTTCATATTTCTCATACTTCTTAAACTCTCTGCAGGACTTGTCACTGTTGATCACCACCTTCTAAATTCTCTCTTCTCCCTGGGTTTCTTGGGACATCATTCTATATTGTTTCTCTTCCTACATATAGAAAACTAGCCTTTCTCAGGTTTCTTTGCAAATTTATCATCCATGGAGCTGCCTCCTATAAATGTGTAAATCCTAAGATTCAATCCTGGGCCCTGTCTTCTCTCCCTGCACACTGTCTCATGGATGTCTCATCAATACCCATGAATTCAACTATCATATTTATGAAAAAGGTTCCCAACCCTCCATAGCTAGTTACATCACTGTAGTCATTGCTTACATTGTTTTCCTGGTTCTGTTTTCTTCTCCTTGCAAGAATTTATATAAATTATCCCATGCTTCTCCAACAAATATCATAAATATCCAGTTATGTGCCACAATTGGTCTAATCATCCTCTAATCAATGGGAATCTACTTTGTTTCCAGTTCTTTGTTATTACAAAAGAAAAAAATGCTATCATGAATGATGTATATGAGATTTGTCTTTCATTGCCATTATCTTTGTAACATATGTCTCTTAATAGGGTCTCTAGAGCATAGGGTATAAACATTTTAATTACTTTCTTAGCATAATTCCAAATTGCTTTCCAGAATTCACAGCTCCACCAACAATGTACCAGTCTTTCTATATCTCTTTCCTTGACTCTTTACTCTCTATCATCCTCCATAACCAATTATAGGAGCAGTGACAACTGGCTTAGGCTTTTCATGGGCAACGATGAAATATGGTCTCTCCAAAGAGAGCTTTTAAGATGAAATTAGAATATCTGTTCCCAGTATGGTCCTAAAGTGAGGTGCTGCTGCTAGTAGCAGATATAAGGCTTCCTTAGCTCTCTATCAGCATTAAAGTAAAATAATGTAATCCAGCACCTATACACTCATTTGGCCCCCTAACTGGACCATGAGACAACTATTAGTTTTCATTTTGAGAATTTCCAAGTATTTAGACCTAAAGGGCAGCACCAACACTAAGAAGATCACCCATTTTGAATTAATTAGACTATGAGACAGAAACAGTATCCTGAAGTCAGGGCCTATTCCATTTTTATCTTTGTGTCCTCAGTGCCTAGAATAGTGCCTTTCATATAGGAATTTAAGATCTTCAGGTTGGATGTGGGATGGGATTATAAGCAGGGAAGAGGAGTATCAAAGTACATGAATATGTTTTTTAAAAAAGAAAGGAGCTACTCTCAAAGCCAGACATATGGTGTGACCAATAAACCAATTACATTTGAAAAAGGTATTATTGGAAATAGGCTAATCAATGGAATGGATTAGGTATACAACAATCAGAAGGAAATGAACAAGGTAGCATAGTGTTCTCGCAGTCAGGTGATGCAGTGGATAAAGTGCTGGTCTCATGTCAGGAAGACTCATCTTCCTAATTTCAAATCTGGCCTCAAACACTTCCTAGCTGTATGACCCTGGGCAAATAACTTAATCCTTAACCTTGTTTGCCTCAGTTTCCTCATCTACAAAATGAGCTGGAGAAGGAAGTATGGTAAACCACTCTAGTATCTTTGCCAAGAATACTCCAAATGGGGTCACAAAAAGTTGGACAAGTCTGAAACAATTGAAAGCATAGTGTTCAGTAAACCCAAAGACCCAAGCTAATGGGTTATGGACTCACTATTCAAAGCAATCAGATTATCAAAGATAACAAAAAAAGGAAAAAGGACAACAATGGGAAGGTCTTCAGGAAAACAGGCATACTAATGCATGACTGGTGGAGCTGTGAACTGGTCCAGCCATTCTGGAAAATATTTTGAATCTCTGCTTCAAAAGTTAATGAACAGTTACCTTCTGACTCAGTAATATCACTACAAGGCCTATACTCCAAGGAGACTAAAGATAAAGAAAAGAATTCTTATGTACAAAATTATTTACAGCAGCAATTTTTGTAGTGAAAACTGAAAATTAAAGGCATACCCATCTAATTGGGGATGACTAAACAAATCATGACAAATGTAATGGAATACTCTAGTGCCATAAAGATAACAAAATGGATGATTGTAGAGAAATTGTGGGATCTGTATGAAGTGACACACAGTAAAGAGAGCAGAACCAGAACAATTTATAACAACTTTTGTAATAACGCAGAAGAAGGAGGAGAAGGAGGAGGAGGAGGAGGAGGAGGAGAAAGAAATAGAAGAAGAAGAAGAATACCCACTTACTGACAGAGAGGTAAAGGACTAAATATCCAGAATGTTACATATATTTTTGGACATGGCCAATGTGAGAATTTGTTTTGTTATTCTTTTTAATTTCAGGGATGGGGGCTGGGGAGGAGGAGGAGTGGAGAGTATGTGAAGGAGAGATGATAAATTCTTGTTAATTTTAAAATGATATTTTGAAAAGAAAAAAATAATGCATCCAAGATTATGGTATATAGCTAAATATGCACCTGTCAAATTAAGTCATCAATTTGAGCACTTTAAAGAACTAAATGTGAAGGATGATCTAGGCCAATGATTAAGTAGCAGAAAGAGAATATTTAGCATAATTGGATATGGGAAATTATGTGGCATTTTCAATGATCACAATGATTCACTACTCACCACTGCAAACCTCCATCTCTTTAAGACCAATATTCTTTAAATTATACCATTTGCCCACAAACCATGCAACAGTATCTCAGAAAAATTAAAATTACAAGTAACTCAAATAGAATTAATGGAAAGAAACACAGTGGGCCAAAAAGGCAACATGTTACTATTAATGATTTGTATGAAGTGACCCAAAAGTTACTATCAAAAATATTATTAATGAGAAAATAAAGTAGACTGATCAAGAAGAAAAAATGAGGCACAACAGATGGTCTGTTTCTTTCTGTCAAAGGCAACACCATCCTTCATCCTTCTAGCCATCCAGGCCTCAGATTCATTCTTGATTCTTTATTCCCTCTCTCTTTATAATCAGCTGCCATGTCCTAACAAGTCTACTACCACAACAAATGTCACCCCCATCTCCATCTCCATCTCCATTTCTCTACTCACACAGCCATCACCCTAGTTCAGACCTTCATTAAATCATTTCTGGAGTATTGAAATAGCTTCCTAAATAGCCTCCTTTCCTCTATTCTCTCCCCTCTCTGATCCATTATCCACACAGCTGCCAAAATGATCTTCCTCAACTACAGATGAGACCATGCCTCTCCTTGGCTCAAAAACCTTCAATGGCTGCCTATTGCTTCTTAAATAAAAACTTCTCAATTTAGCACCTTTGAAATCTTCCTCCAGCCTACTTTTTAATATTTATTTAATATTTCTCTCCCTCACATGTTCAATGATCTAACCAAAATGACTGACCTGCTGTTTGCCAAACTTAGCATTTCATCTCCTCCTTCCAAGGCTTTGTATCATGGGTCATGCTTGCCTAGAATATTCTCTCATTTCCATCTCATAATATCCTTAGTTTCCTTCAAAACTCAACTCAACTGGCAGCTTCTACGAGAAGCCTCATAGATGTTAATATTCTCCTTCAATACTTTCTGTTGTTTATCTGTGTAAATGGTATATCTCCCACCTACTCAGGAACAGGTAAGGAAGGTCCTTTTGAAGCAGGAGACTACGTTTTGTTTTCTCTCTGAATCCCCAAAACTGACTACAATGTATTAAACACGGAAGGTGGCTGATAAATGTTTACTGATTGAATGAATGACCCATCTTACAATGGTACCACTATGATAATAAAGAAGAAAAAAGTTTCCACTAGGCAGACCCTCTGTGATAGATAGGGAAATGAACAAGAATCACCAATGGTGAGGAAATATGAGGGGCTATGATCTGCACTGATTGCAGGAGTATTTATTCCTTACAAAATCATAAATCTTTCCAGTTTTTTTAAAAGGTAAGTAATGAATAAAAGATTTAATCTTCTATTTGAAAATATGACATTTGCATTAAATTAAAAAAAAAAAAAACCTAGCGGCTGCAAAACTGCCAAACGGGTTGAACCAGATTAAAATGTAATTAGTTAATATTTAACATAATAAATAAAAATACAATGAAACATTAAAAAAGAAAACATTAAATTTGTGAGATGACTAAGAAATCTAACATTAAATATATATATAAATATATTGTGTATCTTTGTTAATAAAGAGAATAATCTGATTTGACATTTTAATTCTATAGAGAACTGTTGAGCATAAATTTTCCATTCCAGAGAATCAAGAAGTATTTATACTAACCAGACTTCTTTTGACTAGCCGAATTTGTATTTTTCTTCTTAAAAGTTGTAACATACAGTGGAGAGGTTTCCAGGAGACAGGAACTAAAAACAAATTTTAAATATGAAATATAAAAGCAGTCACTAATAAGATAAAGATAAATTTAAATAAATAGATATTGAGTACCACCTACATGCAAATTATTCAGGATAATTACAAATGACTAGTCCTTATGGCATATAGTTGTGATTTTAAAAACGGGACAAGACTGGCCTCAGCCTGATATTCCCAAGTTATGTTTATTACATATTTTCAATAAGAATTACTGTTCTCCTCTGAAATATATCTGCATGTATGTATGTGTGTACATACATACATACATACATACATTATTTGAAATTAAATTGTGTAGTTTAGGAAGCTACAAAACAATTCAGTGTTCTGGATGAGAATTTATCTCTGTAATAACACAGCAAAATGTCACAGTTGGTAAAGTTCACTTGCATCTTTTACGAGAAACAAGAATTTAAAAGTCTGTCACTTGAGAAGCACTCACTGAGTATGCATTGTTTGGAAAGTACCTGGCAATAACAGAAAGAGTTTCTCTCACATCATGACGCTGTGATAGCATGAGTACAAAAAGATTGATTTCCAATACAGCAATTTGATTTCCAAACATAGAGGTCAGCAAACAGAATACCTGGAGGGGCAAAATCAGGAAATCATAGAGTCACTGACAAACACAAAGTACAGTGATACATGTATACTTGTTACCATAAACATGACAACAAACAGAGGCAGAGTCACCCAACTCAACTCAACAAACATTCAGTAAGTACCAAATGGCCATTACAAATTATCTAGACTAACTCTCCCACTTTGTAGTTAAGGAAACTGAGTAGTAGGGAGTTAAGTCACTGGCACAACATTACAAGTTAATTATTAATATCAATAACCAGCAAGTCACTAGATTATATAACCTTTAAACTATCAGATAATTCTATCTTCTTTTAAAAAGTTCAAATTAAAGGTAACTGATAAAGTAAGCTATTAAAATATTTGTAGGAATGCCATTAAATGCTTCTTCACTCACCTTATGATTAACAGCCTTGTTCATTATTGCACATGATCCAGCAACTTTAATGCTGAGGTTACTGAAATCTTAATTTGAAAAAAAAAGTGAAATTTACAAACAACAGAGGATTTTTCTGTCATTTTTAAAGATGAATACAGAATAAATAAGTTATCTCTAATAAACTGAATAGAGCAGAGACCTTAATTTCAAAATGCACAGGTTAGCATGCTTCATAAGGTAAATTATAATGAAGAAGTATATTTTCTATAAGAAAAATGTATCTTCCACTCAGATCAAATAAAGTATTCAAATTATCAAGCAAATTTAAGACACCTTATGACCTTACCTTTAAAATGTAAAGCAGATTCTAATTCCAAGTTGTCCAAATTAATTATGAATAAACCAGTAGAGCTTCCTATCCACAAGCATCTGGTGTTGGCAGCAGGGAAGCTAATTTCAAAGTAAAATTTTTAAAAATAGAACCTGTAGATTTTGTAGCATAATGTTTAGGATACTTAAAAACCTCCTATATTCATATATTCCCCCCCTTAAACCATGATTATTTATTTCTTTTGGCTATTCAGATTACAATATTACAGCCAACCCTGTATCATCTAAAGTAATGTAGGGAAGTAGTGGTGTTGGTAATAAAAAATAATCACAAATAATCCCAAAGTCATTTGTATTTGTTTTTGGAATTAATTCAATCTTTTCTTCAGCAGATTTACCTTTCTAATTATACTTTACTACTAAAATTGCTTTATATTTCTTTTTCATACACTAGGTAATAGATGAGGAGAAGCAACTCAGGAAGGCCTACCATCTGGTCCCCAGACAATTCCATCATATTATTAAATGGGTTTTTCCCCTAAAGCTTAAAAAAAAAAGGTAGTAGTATATGTGGTAACAAAACAAAAGATCAAACATTCAGTTTATCTGTCTTGTCTTCTTAATATTATAACAAGGTAGTAAGTACAAATTAAAACCAGTAGCACATACTCTACTAGGGACCTCTAGCCATGTTGACATTGAACCATTAACAACTACTAAGTCTGTCCAGCTAGCCAGTGCTGAATCCAACCAATTGCAACACTATCTAAATCAGGGGTGGGGAAGCTGTGGCCTCGCGGACCTCTAGGACCCCAAGTGTGGCCCTTTGACTGAATCAAAACTTCACAGAACAAATTTGGGCCACATGTGGCCTCACAGGTCCCCCCACCCCTGGTCAAACCCCTATCTCTCCATCTTCTCCACATAAAGTATATGAATTACTTTATCAAAAGCTTTGGTAAAATCTAAGTTAAACTATACCCATGACATTCATCTCATGTACTAATTTAATAATCCTGTCAAATAAGGAGGTGAGGTTACTCTAGCATGGGCTGCTTTTGAAGTCAGGCTGACTCTTTATTATTGCTGCTTCCTTTTCCAGATATTTATTTATCTCCATAATGATCTATTCTAGAACTTTCTCAAGAATCAGAGTTAAGTTCAATATCTATAATTTACAGATGCTGTTGTCTCTCCTTTCTTGAAATTCAATACTGTACGACATTTTACTTTTGCCAGTCTAGTGGTGCCACTCCCATTTTCCATCATCTTTCAAATAATACATAGCTCAGCCATCACATTTTTGTATGCCAGTTTTTTAAACATCCGTGGATATAGTTCATCTGGATCAGGTAACATAAATGCAACCAATGCAGCCAGGTGCTCTCTTAGTATCCCCTTACTTATCTTAGGTATCAGTTCCCTGTTAGTCATTTTTGTCATTTCCAGCGTGAAGGCCATTCTCTTCGGCAAATTGCCAAAAAGCAAAAACAAAAATGGGGTTGCTCTGCCTTTTCTCCAGGGTCAGCTATCACTATCTCATTCTCCCACTCCCATCCCCCATAGCAACTGGACTATCCATTATTTGATCCTACTTTTTCTCCTAATGTAGCTTTAAAAACAAATGTTTTTGTTGCTGTTGGTTTCTCTCACTAGTTTTAAAACATTCTGGCATTTAGTATTATTCCCAGAACTATTTCTACAGGTCCAAACCATGCTCATATTTATCTTTTGTTACCTGTCCCTGCTTTCAATTCCTGCACATTTATTGTGTAAATCTAAATTGAGTGGTGAGTTCCTTATACATTCATAATGGTCTCTTCAGACAAATGCAATTTTTCTTCCTCATTGGAACCATTTGTCTTCATGTCTTCAGAATTTCATTCTTAAACACCTCCCATTCACATATCACTTTAACATATGGAATCTTATCTATAGTATCTCCTCTGAATGTTGACATCCTCTTTTCCCAGATCTAGCACATATATAAGATGATAGCCAGACTTCTCCTTCTTCATTAAATTCTTAGGAGAATAGTTCTCATCATTTCCACCCCAGCAACCGGTGCCTCCCTGTTAATAAGAATCAGAATCAGAATGAAATTTTCTCTTGTTTGTTTCTCTACCTTTTGAAGGGTGACATTATCACTAAGCCAAGTCAAAAAGTTATTAGTTTATCTGCTTTTGAAAGAGAGAGTTTCAGTTAATGTCTATAAAAATGAAGGACTTCATCATTACTATGTCATGACTCTATGTCAGGTTTGTGGTCCTATTTCCCAAATTCTTCATCTGTCTTCTCTTTCTGTCCAAGTGCAGTAGTGTATTCCAGTGACAAAATCACTGTTTCTCCCTCCATCAACATTCATACAAATACCCTCCCATCATGCTTCCCCCTCTAGTTTTTTTTAATTTCCTCACATGACTATATGTTTATAAAATATGATGCTATTTATTTGTAATGTATTTATTTTATTTATATCATCTGTGTTATATTTATAATTTATATTATTTTACATTATGTATTTTATTTATTTAATATATAATTTATTTATAACATACAATGCTATTCCTTACCCCCTTCAACTGATACTATCTCTTTTTTTTAGGCTCTTTTTTTTTCCTTTGCTAGGCAATGGGGTTAAGTGACTTGCCCAGGGTCACAAAGCTAAATAAGTGTTATGTGTCTGAGTCCGCATTTGAACTCAGGTCCTCCTGAATCCAGGGCTGGTGCTCTACCCACTGTGCCACCTAGCTGCCCGTGATACTATCTCTTTTGAAGGAGGTATACACAGCCAGAGACTTTGCCCAGTAGCAGGTTCCATTCTACCAAGGTTCAATGATACTTATGAGGTTACATTTGACTGCCTGTGTCACGACCTCTGATTCCTCTTCTTTGTTGCTTAAATGTTGGGCATTTGCAAATACAGTCATTTGAGGCCATGGGTTTTATGTCACTACTGTTTCCTTTCTTGAATTTTTGTCTCTTTTAAACTCATGGGATTCTTAATTGCTATTCATGTTCCTTTTCTTTTTTTAAGCTACTCTCTACAGTATTATGCTTAAGAGACATACATGATCGATCTTCTCCATTCTCCATTCTTTCAAATTTAAAGCCCTTTAGATTAGATTTGCAAGAGACCTAGCAAACATATATTGTACCGGCCTTTGTTACTCCATCTCTGGCCAGTAATCTGTCATCTCTATATTTTAAGACATGGCCCAAAAGTCCAAATGCCATTCTCAGACATCACTTTCTTAGGCCAGTTGTTTACTTCTAAAATTATTTTTTTCTCTTCTACTTACCACTCTTCCATTGGACATTACCAGGGAAAACACAACCTGTATCCATATAATCTTCAGTTTCTTGTCCAATACTTTATAATCATTGGCAATATTTTTTTAAGTTTTTTTCTGGCAGTATCATCTGTGCATCACATTGTATATCACATCAATCACATGAATTAAAAGTAGGAAGCTGTCATCTGTTTTGACAAGTCTTCAGAGGTTCTCTGTTATATCTCAGATACATGATCCAAGAAGATATAAGACCTCTCTATGCTCTTATCAGATCAACAAATAGCTGCCTCAATTCTCTCCATCAAGGAATTACCAATTACTACCACTCTTCTGTTCTTTCTCCTACCCTTATTTGATGACCTGTCACCTGGTAGCTTCTGTGGCTCTACTATCTCCTTCTTTGGAGGACAAATAGCTTCTTCTTCTCAGAGCATCCAACTCTCTCATTCTTCAGGAAGAGCCTTAAGTCAGTTTTTAAGCTTTTATCGTACAGCTGATTTTTCTCCTCTTTATAACATTAGTTCCCTCTGCAATATTCTGACAAGGGTCAAGTCTCCTCTCCACTACCTTAGATTACTTTCTTTTTTTCTCACTGAAGCCTCAGGCCACTTTCCTTTAAAAATACTCTCCCTAGCAACCTGGAGTCTGGGCAGCTGTTCTGCAAATCCCTTTACTTTCTCCTCCATGAGGGAGATTGGCCTAAGTAAAAGTCACTAGGCTGTGAAATAAATATAAACTCCATCCTTGATGAAAGTTATTAAACAATCTTTTTCAACTCTCCAAAATGGGTTGAAATTTTTAGCCTTCTTTTTTTAGGAACTTGGAGGTGTTTACACCTCAATTCTAAGCACTGTTAAAAATTTAAAATAAAATATCACCTCTTAATAACTTGACAACCTCACTCAATTCTTGATATATGTCACAATTTAATAAGGTTTTACTTTTTCAGTCCAGTCTTAGAGAGACTAGTTAGTTCTTCCTAGCCACTATGACTACAACTCAGGTACCTACTACAAGACTAATTGTCATAATTTTTTATGAATGGCAACAAAATTTGAAGCAATATGGAAAATATAGCCATGGAAGTCATGTAGAGAAGCTCTTGTCTGGCATGGATAGCAGAATGTGTATCATACATACTACTAAACATTTTTAAATGTTTTCTATACAAATATAACTTCTAAAATAACAGTCAGATAAAAGTATTTGCCCACAATCACAAAAGGAGTCAATGGTGATTGACATTTCCTGATTTCTTAACCAGTCCTCTTTCTACTATATCATGCTGTCTCTCTGACATCATTGTGTAGCTCTCTCAAAGAACATTAAGGCTTTAAAACTGAAAAATACCATCTAAGTCATTTAGTCCAACCCCACATTTACCACCTCATTTGACAAGTGAGAAGTCTGAGCCTCAAAGAAATGAAATGACTTTCCCACACCTCCATATCAAGATCACCCTATGTGGCCTCATGCCAATAAGGAAAAGTTTCCTTATGCCAATCACATCTTCATGTCTTCCAAACCACCCTTCCAATTTCTTTTTATTTACACATATTTATCCCAAATCTATACTGGATGATAAAGATTATACTCCAATCACACCTTAGCAAGCCTCTTAAAGGGCATTTGCCTTTTTCCATGTAAGCATGTTAAAAACATGAGTTGAACAGAACAGGTTTTATATGGCCACATAAAGGTTTCCTCACAGCACTATGTATTTTGCCTGTGTAGGTGGTAGAGGAGATACAGCACCAGCCCTGGAGTCAGGAGAATCTGAATCAAATCCAGCCTCAGACACTTACTAGCTGTGTGACTCTACAGACAAGTCACTTAACCCTAATTGAGAGAAAGACAGAGAGAGAGAGAGAGAGAGAGAGAGAGAGAGAGAGAGAGAGAGAGGGACAAAAGCAGTAGAACCCCGTGAGTAGAGAGCCTGCCTTGAAAATGAAAGGTCTGGGCTCAAATCCTGCTTCTATCACATGCTGACAGTGCGACCCTGGGCAAGTCACTTAACTATTCTGTGCCATAAGACTTGCCCAGAAGTTGTTGATTTACACTGGAAGGAGTTTCCTTACCTGGAACTTTCTATAATTTCTGAAATCAGAGGGCTCATCAAAAAAAGTATATTAAAATAAGGGACTTCTTTATATGAAATTTTCAAAGTGAGTACTCTTCTCATATTTAAACACAATCCAACAAAAGGAAAAATAGCAGCAGGATTTATAGCTTTGTTTTTCCCTTTGCAAAAAGTCCTATTATGTAAATAAAAATGCATTCTTAAAACTATAAATGATTATTCAGAAGGGAAAATGCTTCAATTTTATTTTAATCATCCCATTTCTACATTGTTCATTGAAAAAAATGTGATTTTGATGGATGTTCTATGAGATTACAATGTCTTCCTTTACATGACATTATCAAAGTACATCATACTTACAATTCACACTCTTCATTAACTGACTGAGCATAGCATTCAATTCTCAATATAGGAAATGTTGTTTCTACCCCTTCTTCTTTTTTCAGGTCATTTGTGGAGGAAGGTTGACTCTCTTCTAGAAAACAGAATCAAAAGTAATTATCAGATCAGCAAAATTTTAATGATCATACAAAATGAGATTCCAATGTCTTGATTGTTAGGCTAATGTATTAAAATATAAAATGCAAAGAGCTCAAGTCAAGTAGAAGATAACACCGCTACAAGTTCTTAGAAGTTCAAAGCAGCATGCACCTCTCAGGTTAGCTAACTTCCAGGATCAGGGCAAGCTAAGACAATAATTTCTCTGCTGCCCAGTTTTGTTTTGGTTTGGTTTGGTTTGGTTTGGTTTTTCAGTTGTGGCTTTGGTTTCAGGGGAGAGGGGGAATGGATCAATGATTTCAAGATTTAATATCCAATGTATACAATCAGCATCACCAACACTTTATTTGTATTCAAACTGAACATATATAAAATGACTATTTCTATACTTGCAGGGACAGAAGAAACTGCCATACTCTAATTCATTGAAATCCTAGAGTTGCAGGCTTCTACAACGATGCAGGGAGAATTGTATATTTTGCTCACCCACATCAACTTCCCTGAAGCAAGAATGGGGTTGAATTATTTGGCTTCTCTTGTCAAACCATGATTAAGTGGTCAGAATAAAACAAAATATTGCTTCTCTCAAATGAATGGCTCCTTCTTGATCAGAAACCAAAATCAAATGGCAGATTAGACTGGTCACTAACATAGTCTATGGCAAACCAATTCAACCATGTTTTTCTTTTCCAAATATTATGTTTGCGATCACATAAACTTGGTTTATATTAGACATTTTGGGAAGCACATGAATTCCTTTAGCAGGATAATAACATTTAAACTACTCCTAAACAATAAGCCTTAAGATCATCTTCGACTACTCACTACCCTTCATTTAATTCTTTGTTAAATCCTGCTGCTTCTTTAAAAATAACTCAATCTGCCTCTATTTATTTCCACAACTAAAGCTTAGTCTATATTCTAATCATGTCTCACCTGTCTGTGGTAACCCAATCTCCCTCTTTCTAGGTCTGTCCTTAGTCCTTTAACCAGTATCATCTTCTCCACCAATCAAAATTATCTCCTTCATTCACCACTAAACAATGAGAGGCAAAGCAGCTGTTCTTTGGGAAGAACCCAATCGCCCTCATGAAGGCATCAGCCTCTCCCACACAAAGATTCCCTGATTATTGCATGCAAAAGGAAGAAAAGCCTGGGTCTCTGGGTTCCTTCGTTGACCCATTATGCTATGTGAAACAGGCTTTATGTTTCATAAGGAATGAAGGCAAAATAGGAAAGTGAGATCTCTTGGTAGCATAGCAATGTTGCTTTAGGAAATCTGGTAACGTGTATCTTTGCTTGTATACAAGTTTACATTCCTCTATGTTGTGCAAGTCTCTGTCTAAGAAATATCATGTACATTGGACTGTACTGTCAGCTGCTTGAGGTGTTAGAGCCAGAAATATAAAGGAATGAGTAACAATCACTTTGTCACTAGGAAAACAACAGATGTGACCTTTTGACATCAAGCTTCTGAGCCCTTCCCTGGTCTCTTAGGCGTGCCCATTAGAGATCAAGGGAGCTTGATAATTACTCAGACCATATCTTTCTTAAAAGATAAATTTCCTAGGACCCCTAACAAAAAGAAAAAACCTCTCTTCTAAATTCCAAAAACATTTCATTTCAAGGCACACATCAGCCTTACTTCTTACTACCCTGTATTGTAGTTATTTCTAAAGATCATAGCTCCCCTAATGTAACACAAGGGGAAAGTGGTACTCTCTTACTGATCTTTGTACTCCCCACAGTGCTTGCACAGAGTAAAATTCAATCAGGAATGAATTCTTCATTAAGGCCTTACAGCTAAGGAAGAATATGCCGTCTTCATTTCAGAGTGTTGATTTGTCAGATTTGTTGAAGTCAACACTCTATTAGCTTCTCTTACTACACTGCCAATTCCCTCTTCTCCTACATGACCTATTTGAAGGTTACTACTTGAAAAGTCCTGCTTGAGAGATCTTGTCTATTTAGCAGATTTTATGCAGCACAACCATCAAGGTCAGACTCAAACAGATTCCTGAAGCCACCATTTTATTATATAGATGTTCTCAACACTTCATATTTGTTACTGTCCCTAGAATGTTTTCCTAATTTCTCTCTGCTGAGCTTTGACTCTCTTTCTATATGCTGCCTAAGTCTACCTAACACCAATCATTCAGGCAAACCTTCAGCACAAATGCTGTTGCACAAGAGAATCAACTTATACATGTTTGTATTTTTTTCTTTGTATTTTTCACATTTGTCCTAACTATGGCATTGTGTCTTCTACTTAGTTTTTTATCATTATCAAGCCTCTGCACACAAAAAGCATTCAGTAAGTTTTGCTAATAAATGCATGAAGACAAGAAACATATAAGTACTCTAGAAATGTTACCTGTTTGGGTATGTTGTGCTAATTTGACCCTTTTACTGAGGAAAATCTCTTGTTTTTTCTTTAGGTCAAATTGGGTCACACAATGATAATGATGTGCACTGATCAGACTGAAGATCCAGATCTGAAAAGGTAAAACATATATAGGTACACAAGATGTTGGACAAAGTTACTTGTAAAAACATCTCTAGCCTATGGAAATGATTGTTGATAATTCAAAATAAACTAATAAAAAATATTTCTATCTAAATGTGATAAAGAACTCAAGACCAAATAACTTCATGAGATATGATACTGCTTTACCTCCTTACTGTAATTTTCCTTTAAATTCTTATTCCACACTTACTTTCATTTTAAGATTCTCTCTTTATTTCATGTCAACCAAAGGCTTAGAAGATTCCTCAGTTTCTTCTGAGGCTGCCTGACATATTTATTTTAGATGTTACAATATTATGTTTGTTATTGTTATTATCTCATTTTCATTTTTTCAATGAGGTTCAGATAAAAAATAGCCCTGGAACAAGATGCTATGCTGCAATTATTCCTTTATATTCAACATTTTGGAGACTATTGCACAGGTGAGTAAAATCATATCCCCTCCAGCATTTATCATTTTCCTTTTCTGTCATGTTAGTCAATCTGATAGGTGTAAAGTGGTACCTCAGAGTTGTTTTAATTTGCATTCTCTAATGAATAGTGATTTAGAGTATTTTTTCATGTGAATATTGATAGCTTTGATTTCTTCTTCTGAAAACTGCCTGATCATATCCTTTGATGATTTATCAATTGGGGAATGGCTCTTATTTTTATAAATTTGGCTTAGTTCCCTATATATTTGAGAAATGAGGCCTTTTTCAGAGAAACTTGCTATAAAAATTTTTCCCAGTTTCCTGCTTTCCTTCTAATCTTGGCCACATTGTTTTTGTTTGTGTAAAACTTTTTAATTTCATGTAATAAAAATTATCTATTTTACTTCCCATGATCTTTTCTATCTCTTTAGATGGCCATAAATTATGCCCTTATCCATAGATCCAACAGGGAAAATTTTCCATGCTCCCCTAATTGTTTATGATATCACTCTTAATGTCTAAATCATGTACCCATTATGACCTTATCTCAGTATACAATGTGAGATGCTGGTTTATACCTAGTTTCTGCCAAACTGCTTTCCAGTTTTCTCAGCAACTTTTGTCAAATAGTAAGTTCTTGTCCCAAGAGCTTAGGTCTTTGGGTTTATTAAACACTAGATTACCATGGTCATTGGCTACTGTGTATTGTGTACCTAATCTACTTCTATGGCTGTGGTGATGTGCTACACAGTTTCTGTCTTTCCTTGTATAATCTACATGGATCACTAAGTCTATGCTCCATAAGAATAACCTACTTCTATAATTTCTGCTGCTAATGTCCTAGCTCTGAATCACCATCATAAATCCCTCCATTTCCACAAATAAAAAGGTATGACTTAGCCATTTAACCAATGCTTCTCTATAGAGTTGAATCCCCATGGATGGGTATTATTATTATTATTATTATTATTATTATTATTATTATTATCTTCACTATTATTATGTTACTGGATTTTAGCAGTTTCACAAACTCCATTCATGGTTGAACTATTTTCAGTTACATTCAATAAATACAATGGGGCATTAATAGCTTATACAAGTATTTGCAGTGCAGTTCCAACCATGTCATTTCCCTACTCAATAAACTCTTGGGGCTCTCTCTTACCTCCAAGATCAAATATAAAAACCACTGTTTAGCTTTTCAAGTCCTTCATGATCTGGGCTTTCAGTCTTCTGGCACTTTACTCCTCTCCACATACTCTTTAACCCAGCAATTCTTGTCTTCTTGCTGTTCCTCTTACAGATACTCCAACTCCCAGCTCCATGGCTTTTCAGTGACTGTCCCTACACCTGGAATATTCTCCTTACTCATCTCTGACCAATGAGTCCCTGGTTTCCTTCAAGATTCAGCTCAAATCCCACCACTCCACTAGAAGTCTTTCCTGGTATTTCCCAGGGCTAGTGACTTCCCTCTGAGATTACCTCCAAATTACACTGTATACATCTTGTTTGTTCATAATTGAATGCATGTTGTCTCACCCCTTAGATGGTGTGTTTGTTTCCCTCCATTTGATTGTGAACTCCCAGAGACTGACCACATTAACGATAAACCATGAAGATACCCAACTGACTTAGCTCCTAGCAACTCAGAATTCCAGGCAAGGGATCTGTCAGCCTCAGCCTCCTCAGCCACAGAGACCACAGGTACAGGCCACCACATCTAGTTATTAGGTATAATTCTGGAATTGGCACTAGGTAAAGATTTTTAATGACTTTAGGATCTTCATCTTCTCCCTCTTCAGAGCCTTCAATTTCATAGCTTATTTCATCTAATCTAGTCTTCAAGATGAAGTGTTGGTTTGGGGGAGGGTTGTTTTGCTTTTTATTATTAAACCATTTTTATGATTTTTATGATTATGCATTAGTCAGCAATGTATTGTGTAAGTTTAAAAACTGACTGCATACTTAACAAAACACAATAAGAATCTCTTGTCTCTAATTGGTGAGATATTTCCAATTCTGTTACAATTAGTACTGTAACGATATCATTCTTATCTTTGGTCCATTTCACGGACACTTATGGTTCATCTATCTTTGTGGTCTGGGTCATAAGCACAGAAGCATTTTTTAACAGGTGAAGAAGGACGTTAGGTTGTTAACCCAATTCACAGGGTCACCAGAGTTTCTGGGTTCCTGCCAGGCTTTCAGAGCTATCACAGTGGTCTCAGGGCACATACAGTTTCTGCTTGCACAATGCCTTGACTGGCATTCCCTTCCTTGGCCACTTCCCTCCCACTCCATGACATTGACAATGGTTTGATCTTTGAGGGGGTGGCTGTTGTCATCGTCATTGTTGACATTATTATTAAGTGATGCACTTTCATTAAATGGAGTGAAAAGAGCACTAGGCTTATAGTCAGAAGATGTTGGCAGGAGTCCTGGCACCCCTACCAGCTGAGTGATGTGGGACAAGTCACTTAATCTCTCTCAGGCTTCAGTTGAGGGGAGTGTGAGGAGAGAGCTGCCAAAGAAACACATGTTAAGAAGGTTCCTTCTAACAATGAAGGTCTATGAAAGTGGTTTCTCTATCAGTTTAAACCCAAGAGTATATTTCACTCAATCCAATAATATTCTAATTTCTAAATTCATCCCTATATCATTCTATCTTTGCAAATAGACATGTCATATTTTCCCAAAAACTTCAGATGCATCAAATTTGATTCCTCTGAGTTCAGTTTGCCAGATCCCCAGAGATGAGAATGATATAGTTCCTCCCATAAGCTACCAACTTGCATTCACTTGACATAGGTAGTTTAAGTAATAAAAAATATAGTGCAAAATACAAAGCTGAATGAACACTCATCTCAATTAACTACATTTGAAGATTCCCTGAGGGAGTTCCTTCAGTCAGTCTCAAAATCTCTATCATACAATTTTACTTTTCTTATCTAAATTTAGGTCCCAAATCTAAGTGAAATCAGGCCAGTATGGCTCCACCAGGATTTCAGACCTAGAGACTTGAGCAACTGGATCTGATCAAGACCATAACCTACAGGACAATTTTAGGCACCTTTTTCAACGGGGAAAGTTTGCATCACGCAGTTTTTTCTATATATAATTTCAAGTTAGTCAGTTAGTCAATAAATAGTTATTAAGTAGGAACTGTGTTAAGTGCTGGGGATATAAAGGGAAGACCCTGCTTTCAAGGAGCTCATAGTCTAATAGGAGAGACAACTATGTACATATGAGATATATATAGGATAAAAATGGGGATCATCAATGGAGGCATGGCACTATCAATAAGGGGAAAGGGGAAACGCTTCTTGTAGAAGGCAGGATTTTAGATGGGACTTGAAGGGAGTCAGGAAAATCAGGAGCTAGAGATGAAGAGAAAGAGAATTCCAAGCATAGAGAAAGCCGGTAAAAATGCACAGAGTTGGGAAATGGAGAATCTTGTATGAGCTTAACAATAGTTTATACTTAAATATTTTTAAATGATTTTCTCACCTGACCATCAGCACTCCCAGTAATAAATTGTTCCTTTTCTTCATCAATGAATAAACTTAGAAGAGGATAGGCTATTCAAAAGAAGATAATTACCTTTATTTGAAGGTATATATATTTTTTAAGATAAAAACATTAATAGTTTTGGTTTTGTTCTATTTTCTTTTAAATAAGGTTGAACAAGCAAGCAAATTAAATTTCCCCACCAAAGGAGTTATTTAAAAACACTTGGAATGAATTCTACTCATTTTGTTATAAGTTTATTTATTTATTTTTAGTTTTCAACATTCACTTCCATGTATTCTACTCATTTTAAAAGTGCATAGACATTTAAGAGAAGTCTCAAGTAAAAAGATGACATATCAATTCAGGTATGCCAAAGCTAGAAATGTTAGAGTGTCCCTGTCTTACCTAAACTTTATATCACCCCCAATGCTTAACAAAAAGCTCTATATATGGCAGACACTTAGTATTTGTTGAATAAATGAATGAATATTAAAACAATTTAAATTCACTAATTCTAAGAAATTTAATAAAAGCATTATCACACATATCACATTTTGGAAGTGCCCTCTGCCCCTCAGGCCCCTCCTTCTAACTGGAGAGTAGAGAGCTCCTCCCAGAACTTCCATTCAGAAGGGCACCCAGGCTGCCATCTTTTCATTTCCCACCAGGCTGCACTCCTCTGGACCATGCCACTCCCTTGCTAGAAAACCTTCTGAAGTTCCCTATTGCCTCTAAGTAAACATACAAACTTTCACTCTGGCATTTAAAGCCCTCTACAGCCAGGCTCCAATCCATACTTCAGCCAATTCCTATTTTCCCTTTCACAAACACTGTGTTCTGGCCTATACACCAAAGAAATGATTGGGGAAGGAAATGTCAGTTGCTTCATGTGACTGAGCAAACCAATACCTACTGTTTGACTTCCATCTCTAATCAAAACAATAACTCAACTAAATCAAGTGATATGTTATTTTATTTTCTTTTTAACATTTTTTTTATTTTAAAAATTGTTTTAACATATAATTGTGGAAAAATAAAATATGTAAAAAAAAAAAGATTGCTGGTTGGTCTCCCTAGCCCCAGTCTCTCCTCACTTAAATCCATCCTCCATTCATTTATGAAAATGATCTTCTTAAAGTACAGGTCTGACTATGTCATCCTCCTATTCTATAGACTCCCTATTACCTCCAGGAACAAACATAAAATCTTCTTAGGCTTTTAAAGCCCTTCACAATTTGGCCTTTTCTTACCTTTCCAGTCTTCTTACACCTTACTCTGTGATCCAATGGCATTGGACTCCTTGCTATTTCTCCCTCAAGACACTCCGTCTCTCAACTCTACGAATTTTCTCTGGCTTTCCCCCAATCCTAGAATTAATTCTCTTCCTGTTCCCCTCAATCTCCTGGGCTCCCTAGCTACCTTCAAGACCCTTTTGCAAGAAGCCTCCCACAACATTTTTTTTTAATTAACAATAATCGACCTTCTCTCCTATCTCTCCCTCCCACTGGGGAAAAAAACCCTACACCCTTTTAACAAATATATATAGGCAAGCACATATGTTATTTCATTCTGACCACTCAAAAGTGGCCTGAAAATATAGTCGTATCATCCAATACTCTCATACATGTTTCTGAAAAAGTTTCCTCTTCCCCTATCTACCCCCCACTGCTATTTCCCCAGTAACAGAGGGGCATTTTTCCCTTGAAGCTGGCTTGCCATTCTTGATACTTTTAATCAGAAACTTAATCATATAGTAAGTTTTGAAATGAACAAGTTTACCTGTTAGTACTGCTGAATTGTATAATAGTAATCCAGTACAGTGATCCCAGACCTTTGGAGAAATATATATATACACGTACATATTTTAGAAAATATCAGAACTTGGAAGGCTGTCATAAAATAAAATTATGTAAAAATATTTACAACAAATACCGTATCTTAAGCCAGTTGCTAGCTCGTAGAAAAATATTATGAGTCATAAAGAGAATTTATCAACAAATATTTATTAAGTGACTACAATGTACCAAGCAGTGAGTTAGGTGTTAAGGATAAAGATAGAAAGAATGAAAAAACAGTAAGAAAATCCAGGATAGAAAAAGTAAAATCATAAGAACACTTGTTAAAAATGATGTCAAAGAATCAATATAGAAAAATGCAAATGGTACCTCAAGAAACCTGTATATTTGAAAGTAACAGGAAACAGAAGGACAAGATGACAAGACTAGAAACTTCCCAAAAGCTGAGTAAGTTTAGCTGAGCTATGTTATATTTGAAGTAGAATATAAATGTATTTCCAGGATTAAATAGCAAATTATAAATGCGAAATGTAAACATATACTAACTCCAATTTGCTACTTTTTATTATGTTACCAAGGAAACCAATTGGAGACCTTTGATTTCAGATATGATTTCAGCTAGGCTCTGATCTAAATTCATCCCTCTGAGTAGGCTTCATTCTTTTTTTTTTTTCAGCTAGGCAATGTGGCTAAGTGACTTGCCCAGAGTCACACAGCTAGTAAGTGTTATGTGTCTGAGGATCTGAACTCAGGTCCTCCTGAATCCAGGACCAGTGCTCTATCCACTGCGCCACTTAGCTGCCCCTGGTCTTCATTCTTAATTAGTTGTCTCAGGTAATCCAAATCAATTCTAACTATTCTCCACTCTCGTGGTGTACCTACCCAAAGGAGAGACACTGTAACAGCTATTATGATATAATGTATTCAGTCTAGTTTGAAATTTCCAGAACCACCATATGTGAATGAATTGCAAAGAAAACCAACTCCCAGCAGGTTCCAGAAATGACCCAGTCAGGGCAGCTAGGTGGCGCAGTGGATACAGCACCAGCCGTGGAGTCAGGAAGACCTGAGTTCAAATCCAGTCTCAGACCAGATACTTGACACTTACTAGCTGTGTGACCCTGGGCAAGTCACTTAACCCCAATTGTCTCAGCAAAAAACAAACAAACAGAAATGACCCAGTCACCAGAATGTCCCTTAGATCAAGGTCCAAGCCCAAACACTTTAACCAGAAACTTAATCCAGTCTGCGTGTGAATTTGACCCAAACTAGACTACTTTAAACAGACATCAGATCTGTTTAAATAGGTTCAATTTGACACATCCAGTGAACCAATTTTTTGTTATTTCATGATTCTAGAGGGAAGGGGGAAGCTCTCTACTCTTTAAAAAAATCAATTTAAAAAGTAGTTTAATGAGTCATATCCTTACCTTAAAGCTTCTGTCTTCAGACACTGATATTATTATATTTGTTTGCCAGGTGCAAAATTCAACTGCAGTGACTAGGGCAACATGACCTTTCAGCTCAGCTAATACAGTTTCAAACTGGAATAATTGATGAGAGAAACCTTATTAACATAATTTATTTTTGTAATTCTCATTATTTAATTGTATCTCATATACCTACCAGAAGAAACATTTACATCAAAATTCTTGTTCTACTTTGACTACTATCATAACTCCCTTCCCCAAATTCTTTGGAATTTGAACAGTGTTAATGAATCAATGTCAGAGCTAGAAAGAAGTACCAGGGATCATAGGCTATAAAATATCAGTAATGATAAACTACTAACAAGGCTGACCTTAGGAAAATTACAAAGAACCTGTCACCTCAGCTCTGCCTTAAGGGACCTCCTCCCTCACTACTTTTGCCCACTCTTCTCCTGCTGTCTTCTAGATTATCAGGGTACTTTCCCCACTGCAGTTCTCAAGCTCTTCTCTACACCTTTCCTGCCCATTCCCTGAGAACCCATCAGAATGTATCTGGCTCATACCCATTCCCTCCAAAGACTCCTTTCAGATGGGTAACTAAAAGTGAGATCCATGATAATAATTGTTTTATGTACATAAAAAAGTAATAGTGATTACTAATCCCTTATGAACACAATATTTCCATTTTGCTGAAGGCTTATTATAGCAATAATGATGTCATTATTTTTTTTAAAGTCCCTGTTCTGGAAAAAGAAAAAAAAAGTCCCTGTTCTGTAGGGTTGTAAGGATTACAAAATTACAGAATTATGTTTCAAAGCTGTAATGGAATTCAGAGCCTATTGAGTCCAACCCCCACCTTTTACAGGTGAGGAAACTGAGGCCTGGAGAGGCTAAGTGACTTGCCCAGGATCACACAGGTAGCAAGTGAGGGAGACAAGATTCAAACCCAAGTCCTGTAATTCCAAATCAAGCACGATTTCCATTTTACCACACTCCCTCTGTGGTGGAGTAGGGATTCTCTTTCAGGAGTGGGTTGTACTAGATGGCCACTGAGGTTCGTCATCTATGAGGATCCTGTAAGCTGTACAACCCTGTGAGGCAGACAGCATGGGGATTTTTATCCCAATTTGAAAAGTGATGAAACTGAGGATCAGATGGCTCAAGTGATTTGTCCAGGTTCAAAAAGGCCCAAATGGCAGAGTTCAGACTCAAGCCAATGACTACATAGCTTGCCAGAATGGGAACGTAACTTAGTGATCGTTTCGGCCAACCTCCTCATCTGACAAATCTCTCTCAAGTTCAGTTTACTTAAAATTACTTGTCTGAAGTCATACAGCAAGAGCTATTTAATGAGGCAGAGGAATGAAGAGGCCAGTGCTTTACCAATATCACCACACTATCTAAGAAAAAAATGAAGCACCCAAAATGGAGTAAGAACCAATGTAGTCAGAATCTCATGTTGTGGTAATAACAATAATAATAATTCATGTTAGCAGTTCAGTCATAGCATTCATCTTCTGCAAGAAGCCTTACCCAACCCTTCTTAATTCGAGTACCTTTCCTCTTTAAATTATTTTAATTTTAAAAATTATTTTCGGGGCAGCGAGGTGGCTCAGTGGATAGAGTACTGGCCCTGAAGTCAGGAGGACTTGAATTCAAATCTGGCCTCAAACACTTGACACTAGCTGTGTGACCCTGGGCAAGTCACTTAACCCCACTGCCTAGCCAAAAAATAAAAAAAAATTATTTTCTATTTATCCTGTATATAATGTTTGCACATATTTGCTTACTTGTAGTCTCCCCTGTTAGGTTGTGAGCTCCTTGAAGGCTGGGACTGTCTTTTGTCTCTTTTTATTTACCCAGCACTTGGTATAGTGCCTGGCATACAGTAGGTACTAAATAAATGTTGATGGATTGATATAGCACTTTAAGGTTTGCAAAGCACTTTATAAATATTATCTAATTATTTTTAATTTTATAATTATTTTATCCTCAGAACAGCCCTAGGAGGTAAGAGGGGAAGAGGAAGAGGAGAAAGAAGAGGAAGAGGAAGGAGGAGAAGAAGAAGAAAGAAGAGGAGGAGATTCTAGTAGTAGAAGCAATAACTAGTGTAGTAGTGGTAGTAGTAGCAGTAGTAGTAGATTCTACTAGCCCTGTAAAGACTAGATGAGAATACATTTCCAAGCCTCTCAGTTTAAACTTCTTTAAAATACATTATAGACTTTATAACTTACAGGATCTTATAATCCTTAGAGATCCCATCAGATTTAAATGATTCTAATTACTATATAATGTTAAAAGTCTTACCTTAGCATTAAGCACGAGTATCTTATTTCCAGCACACACTGCAATAATACGGTCATCTGGACTAAATCTCAAATAAAGCACCATTCCCAAAAGAGTTCCTATGACATCTCCTCGAGGAGTTAACCCTGTAACAATTTTTATTGTTAATACCAATTCATAAACAGTTGTCAGTAAAAATTAGCATAAGTAGTCTAAATTATGAGAAAATAAAATAATGTAATTTGCTGATCCCAGATGATTTCTAAAAAAAAGCACTGAGCCCCAATGCCATTTTACATCCTTAGTGGGGTTATAGAACAACGAACATGCAAATCTTCTTCTGAAGATATTCTAATTTAAGAACTCATTTTATTTGAAGTGACTATAGTAAAAGAATTTTACTAGAGGGACCACCTTTGATGGTTCTTTCTATATAAAATATTACACTCAGAAAAATTTTAATCGATCAACATGTTTATAAAATGGACCATACCAATAATCTTATTTTCACACAATCTTAATTAAATCGAATTCTCTACGTTCAAATATAAAATCTGAATTGATACTGGACACAAAGGCCTTTATAAGTCAGGCACAGATCTGGAATAATTTGGTGAAGCCTGAACCCTTTTCAGAATACTGCTTTTTAAATTCACAAATGAAGGCAATGCTGTTTGTTAGAGGCTAGTGAATGTAGAGATGTAAACTTTTTCCCATCCAAGTTCACAGACCTCTTAAAATTTATCCACAGACCTCTTACAGGGTTCATGAACCCTAGGTTAAAAACCCTGGAAAAAAAGCTATTCCTTCACTTATTTACATTCCTCATATACAAATGTCAGCACCCAAACTCTAGTCAGACCACCACAGGAACTCTTCTTTTCTCCCCACAGCCATAGTAGAGATTTTCTTCCTCTTCCTAATCACCACTGTAGACTATGCCATTGCCTGGGACACCAACCACTGTTGGTCCTGGTACCCTCTCATCCACCTTGCCCCTTGGACAAGGTCATGTAAGATGGTAGCAGGAAGAGGGAGAGGGAAGAAAGGTAGAGGAAAATGAGTAGATTGGAAGAAGCAGACTTTATCCTATCATAGCTTCTTCATTTTATACTAATTCCAATTATTCCCCCGCTCCCTATTAGAAAGACAGCTAGGTGGCAGTGGATGGAGTGTCAGACCTGCAGTCAGTAAGACTCATCTTCATGAGTTCAAATCTGGCCTCAGAAACTTACTAATTGTGTGACCCTATGCAAATCACATAACCCTGTTTGCCTCAGTTTCCTCATCTGTAAAATGAGCTGGAGGAAGAAATGGCAAACCATTCCAGTTTCTTTGCTAAGAAAACCCCAAATGGGGTCACACAGAGTCACACACGGCTGAAACAACTAAATGATAACAACCCTGTTAGAAGCAAAACACGGAGTAAGGAGAGGGAGAGAGAGAGAGAGAGAGAAGAAGAAGAAGAAGAAGAAGAAGAAGAAGAAGAAGAAGAAGAAG